CTCCGTTGCCCTCAAGTGCTAGTGCTGAACATATTATTTAGTATAGCAAAGCTTATACTTTCTGATCGTCGCTCTAGACTTGGGGATGACAGTACCGAAATGTTATTATTATTAAAGTGCAATATTGAATAAATTATATATATATATGTAACAAATTATAGTCATGTTTTTTTATCAATATTTTATTTGTGGAAATAAAATTATGTAAAAAATATTTTAAAAAAATCAAAATAGAGTAAAAAATACAACTATTCTTATGAGAATGAAAAATAAATTTATACAAATTATTTATTATAGGGCAACCGTGGGATATATATAATTTCCTAAAGAATGATTTAACTCCTCAAAAAAAACTGGAGATTTTGGACATTATATATCAATCAGATATAATTTTCCCATTTATTAGGGACACAACAACAAAGAAATTAAGGTTCCAATATGTTTGGTTATCAAGGTGGCCATGGCTTGCATTTTCTCCAACTATTAATCGTGCATTCTGCAAGAATTGTGTTTTATTTGGTCCTAAATTTGCTAGAAGAGCTCAGCAAAAATTACAGAGCTTAGTATTAACACCATTTACTAAATGGAAAGATGCTACTGAAACTTTTAACAACCATCAAAATAATAAGTATCATATTGATGCACAACAAACAATATATTCCTTGCAATCTATCAAAAATGGAGAATCCATGGATATTATTAGAATAATAGATACTGGAGAGCAAGAACTTACCTTGCAAAATAGATCAGACTAAGGCCAATAATTGACGCTATCCTGGTATGTGGCATCCAAGGTATCGCTCTTAGAGGTCATAGAGACAGCGGTGCGATATTTGATAATGATAACAACAATAACGATGTTAACCTTAAAGCTATTCTTCGAAATAGATACCTTGGAGATCCAAAAATGCGACCTACTTGAGCCCAATAATTCAGAATGAAATCATTGATGCCTGTGCAATGAATTGAAGAAAATTATTACAAATATCAACAAATCACCCTACTTTTCGGTCTTGGCTGATGAGTCAACAGATGTCTCTGGAGTAGAACAAATGTCTTTATGTTGTGCTATATAAGCCTGGATGGTAAGCTTATAATTTTATTGACAATAAAAAAATTATACATCATAGGTGATATACAAATATTAGAAGAATTTTTACAATTTATACCAGTTGTGGATGTGAGAGGGGAGGCGCTCGCCCAATTGTTAAATTTAGAGAAATCGAGGACAAGGTTATGATGGTGCCCCAGCTATGAGTGGTCATTTAAATGGTGTCAAAGCACATATTTAAAAAAAATATCTCTCCGCTATATATGTTAGATTTGGCAATATTCGATTAATGTGCTTAACCTTCTATCCGTGGGTATTTTAACTTATAAAATAAAATAAACAAAATATATTTTTAGCATTATATCCAAAATTTATGATTTTTTTAAATATCCAAACGGTCAGATGTTTTAAATCGAAATATATCAATGAATGAACCCAAAACACATCATCAAAAATTAAAAAAAATGTGCCCTAGGGTTTTACGTCATGATTCAGTTTCGGCATTTATAGAACTCAAAGAGATGATAAGAACATCTTTACATGAAATTACCAAATGGCAAGATAGTAATGTGTCGTCAGAAGCGATATATTATTGAATTCAATTGATCAATCAAAGTTTATCATTACTGCTAGTTGCATCAATAAATTATTTTCCTATAGTTCATTACTTTGTAGAAATTTACAAAAACCAAATTTCGATTTGGTTCAGGTTATTGATTTGGCAGAAAATAAATATGAACAGGTAAATACAATAAGAACGAATGTAGATAAATATTTTCATAATATTTATCTAGATGTTGAATCGAAGGCTAAATTTAATGATATAACAATAATTAAACCTCGTCTAGCACCAAGGCAATTATTATTATGTAATATAAATATTGGCTCAACTGAAGATTATTATAAAATATCTATTTTTATCCCTTTCTTAGATACTTTTTTATCGCAAATAAAAGTACGGTTTATAGATAAAAAACAAGTCTTTGGCAATCTTTAAGTTTTACTGCCCAAAGATCCTTCTTCGTTTTCTAATGCCACTATTAGTAAAATTAAATATAGCAAAATTTCATATAATATTGATACTGAAATAAATTTAATTAGTGAATTCGAATTGTGGTATAAATATTTACTACTTTTAGCTATGCTCAAATAGGTCGTATTTTTAGGATTATTTAATAAATTATCTTTAAGTATGGGATCTCCAAGAGATATATTTCGAAGAATAGCCCTAAGGTTTCCATCATTATTTTTTTTATCATTATCAAATATTGCTCCGCTATCTCTATGTCCTCTAAAAGCGATACCTTGGATACCACATACCAGGATAGCGTCAATTATTGGCGTTAGTCTGGATCTATTCTGCAAGGCAAGTCCTTGTTTTCCAGTATCTATTATTCGAATAATATCCATGGATTCTCCATTTTTTATAGATCGTAAGGAATATATAGTTTGTTGTGCACCAATATGATACATATTATTTTGATGGTTGTTGAAAGTTTCAGTAGCGTCTTTCCATTTAGTAAATGGTGTTAATACTAGGCTTTATAATTTTTGCTGAGCTCTTCCAGCAAATTTAGGACCAAATAAAACGCAATTCTTGCAGAATGCACCATTAATGGTAGGAGAAAATGCAAGCCATGGCCACCTTGATAACCAAACATATTGGAACCTTAATTTCTTTGTTGTTGTGTCCCTAATAAATGGGAAAATTATATCTGATTGATATATATTGTCCAAAATCTCTAATTTTTTTGAGGAGTTAAATCATTCTTCAAGAAATTATATATATCTCATGGGTGATGAAACCCTAATAAATAATTTGTATAAATTTATTCTTCATTCTCATAAGAATAGTTGGGATAAACTAATCTCAAAATGGAAAAACCATTATTAAAATTTTATTTTTAAATGGTTGTTTTATCAATAATAATCTGAAAAAAAAACTTTGTACTAACTATATTATATTTTAAAAAAAGGTCATAACATAGAGAAAATCTGGCATAAATTGTGTTTGAAAACTGGCCACCACCCTTTAACTTTTTATCTTTTGGACCAAATTTGTCTTCAAATAAACAATATGTGTATATTTAAGATATGTACCTCTACTTTACCTAATTTTTATTACCAGCATTATTGTACATATAAAAGCATTTAATGATAATAGACAGGCAATATCTGGCCAAAATTAATAGATTCAAACGTACATATTGAAATGAAAATGAACATATTTAATTAGCAATTGTTATGATCATTAATAAAAATTATACACAATTAATATCTATCAAATTTAATATAACAACTTTAAGTTTAGCAAAGCAAAAATATAAAGAGTGCAAATTCCCATATGAAATCTATTCATATAGATTAATATTCACCAAACTTCAAAAGCATTATAAGTATGAAGGAATATTTAAAGAGCATAAATAAAATAGTTTTAATTTTATTAAAATTTACAACTAATGCCTAACCTAATTTTTATAAAATATATGCCACCTACCTTTACCATTTTTTCCTTAAATTTATACAATTTTTTCATGCTCAGCCTTTTCTTCTGTTCTAAGTAAAAAATGAAAAATATTTAAAAAATTAGATATTTATTAATGATTAAAATATTATTAAAAATACTTAATTCCAACTCACTAATAATTTTGAACTTCATAAAATAATTATATATAATAATAAAATAAATTACCGTTTGATTTCAATCTCTTTGACTAAAAATTTTTCCATTTTATTAATATATTTGAATAATGTTAATGCACTCACAAGGAAAGGAAATTTTAATAAAAATTTATTTATAAAAAATAAGTTTAATATTGGAAAATTGCTATTCAAATATTTGTAAAATTTTGATTATGGGGGGGAGAGGGTTAAAATTTTATTAGCTTAAAATGATATTTATGAAAATAGTCAAATTTGCGATGGGGGAGGGATTACTCCCTTGTCCCCCCCATTGGCTAAGTGCCTGATATCGGCCGATTACAATTCAATATCATATCTGATTTTGTATTCACTAATCGTTTTAATTTTTCATGCATACATCTAGTGTTGCAAAATCGTTCCATATAAGTATTTTTAAACACTATTTTATCCAGATAAATATTATGGAAGCCTGAAGATTTTGCTCATAGATGACACAAAGTTTGGACATGTATTAGCCTTACCTCAAGGTTTAAGTAATATTTTTGGCTAAAATATTGAGTATGCCGTTTTTAAAAATCGGCTAAAATGGAGTGATTTTCTATCACTTCATTTCATATATCTACTCATCTCAAATACTTTTTAATAGTAAAATCTATAATTTAACTATAACATAACATATGTCATTTTAATTTAACATAATGATCAGTTATAGTTTATATGAATCTAAAAATATATAAAATATTTACATAATAAGTAACAAATATACTATGAATTTTGAAATAAATTTTTAAAAAATTAAGACGCCATTTTATCGAATTGTGGAATATTTTATAATATTGATCTATAACCGATATTTTTAAAAAGATAAAATATCGGCCCCCGATAAAGAATATAGGTTATATGAGTAAAAATCCTCAGACTTATTTTTTTAAATGCTTAACTCAATATTTAGCCAGAAAATATGCTTACGCACTTGTCCAAACCTTGGTGCAATATATGAGCAGAAACTATTAGGTTTGCGTAATTATTTTTCTGAATATAATATTGAGATAGCCGTTTTAAAAATGGACTTAAATCGAGCCGTTTAAAAATACAATCTTTTTTCATTTTGTTAAAACAAAATATATTTTTTTCATTTCTCTAGACCTGTGGTGAAGTGTTGCAATAAATTAATCATATTTTGATATCATTTTAAGAAAAAAGAGTATTTTTGTGGAAATTTTTATCTTATAAAATAATTAAGGTTTATTTTATCTCTATTGATTATTTTAAAACTTGAAAAAAATATATCAGAAAAAATCAATACCTAGGCACAGGAAGATGGTGATAAGGATCTATTGGAGGACGAACATTAATGTGATCAAAGGGCTGATTATTTTGGTCATACCGAACTGGTTCAAATGGATTACCACCTAAACCTTAAAAGGGTTTGTAAAAAATTAAATATTATAGGGTTTATAGTACCAGGAGGCCTTCTCCTATCAACTCGATAACGTTCATCAATAGGTGGGGGCAGTGAAGAACGGGGCAAGCTATCATACCTCTGGTCACCTATGTTGCTTACATTACTTCCAGAAGCATTCTCCCTTTGATACTTTTCCAAAATTCTAACTTGAGATTTCAAAGCATCTTGTAGCAATCTCTTTAAGTTTTCGTTACCAGGGCGAGCTAAAAATCCAGCATTCTCTTGGTCATTAATCAAATCGTTGAGCTGAGATTGCAAATAAAGAGCTGTGGGAAGTGACGGATCAGACCGGTTTCTTCTATTGTAAGATAAAGATTTAAGAAATATAATGACATAATCATTACTTTTTTAAAAAAACAAGGGATAGATAATAGGTAAGTTGCAATTGATGAGACTATTTTAACAGTAAACCCATAGCAGTGCTGCAAAATCGCTCCATTTAAGCCAATTATTAAAACGACTAACTTAGTATTTTATCCAGAAAATCTATTACACAAGTATGGAGATTTTTGCACAATGGCATAAAGGTCTATTAGCAAGATCTCGAGGCTTATAGGCAATATTTTCTAGCTAAAATTATGAGTTAGTCATTCTCCAAAATTGGTTCGAATTAAGCGATTTTTCATCACTCAACATATTATTTTAAAACAATCTGCATGCCATTATTTTTTTTGTATATGACTGTAATTTTTAATTAAACCACCTCGATAAATAAAATTAACTACTTTCTTTTCTTTATAAAAAATTAAATAATGTAAATTTTCCTTCATTTTAACCTTTCCAAATTCATAGAATTGTCATACTTTTTCAACTATAAAACAAAATCTTGTTTGAACTTATTTTTAAAATAAAATTTCGTAACAGATTCGGATCTTTATTTGGTTTGAATAAGTTGGACAGATTTTTTCCCTTTATTGGATTGACCTTAACTTAAAAAAATAGGTTGCATCTTATACCGCTGGTGATGAACTCATGCACTGTCTTACTCCACTCCCTTCCAAAGACTTTCTGTTATTCATCATAAAATGAAATATCAATTTTTATTAGTTGCTTCTGTAGGTTATCCTCTCTTCCTTTTATCCCAATAATCTACATAAATATTTTATAACTTTTCTTTCCTATATGGGCAAAACTTCTCAATCTATTCAACCCCAGTTTTGTGCTCATTAGACCTAATGGTCTGAAAATGGGCGGTTTAAAATATTTGTGAGCAGGGATCCAAACCGAAATGAATATCGGTTCGGTTTGAACACTTTTGTATCCAAACCGACATTCGAATTATGTATAGTGAAAATATTTTTTGATTTTATTATTAATTAAAAAAACACATGTATAAAACCTTCATTTTTATCAATTGCACATTATAAAATAATATTTAATTTATAAATATAAAAATACAAGCTAATAACCCGTCAAGAATGACGGGGTTATGGGGTAATTAATTAGTTTGTGTATATAATTCTAAATATGCTAATTAGTGATCTGCTTCGAGCCTAATTTTTCAAGCCCGGCCCAAAATTTTTTTAAAAAAAGTTTCGCCGGCCCAGCCCAAACCCGAAATTTTTTCAAAAAGTTTTGCCGGCCTGGCCCGAACCCAAAATTTATTTTAAAAAATAAATATAGAAATTAATTTTTATAATTACTTAAAATAAAAGACATATGTTATATAGCGTTGAGTTTCAATAAATTAAATCAAAAATTTTTATTTTGCATAAAAAATTCAATATAAAATTGATAAATTTATATATTTAATAAAATTTCCAAGGTCTGACCCGACCCGGCCCGAAATTTTTTTAAAAGGCCTAACTTTGCAGATCTCTAATGCTTATATTAAAATTTAGGAGAAAAAGAGGTAAAATTGTTGCAATGTAACCCGTGAGCATTAAAGGTATTAGAAATATCAAAATTTAAATTTGTGATAGTAATCATATTGGGTAAAATTAAAAATAGAGATGCTTCAAAATATTTGAATTTTAAATATGGGCTAGACATTGGCCTCAAAATTTTGTTTTGCAGACTCAGATAGGCCTGATCAAAAAACCACGTCCCATGCAACTTTCCTAAAATTTTGCCATTTATTTCTATTGTAATTTAATAATGTCTTAAATTTAATTTTATATTTAGATTAATAAATTTTTGATAAAAATCATATTGAATAAAATTTAAAATAGAGATGCTTGGAAATTTTTTAATTTTAAATATGGGGTAGACATTGGCCTGAATTTTTTTTTGCAGACATAGCCAGGCCTTCATAAAATTATCTCCTTTTCTCCTAAATTTTAATATTTATATAAAATTTATTGATAAAGAATATTTTGTACCATACACACAAACTAAATAATTACCTTTCAACCCTGTCATGGTAATAAACGGCAAAATTTTATAAATATCAGCTATTAATTAATATATATATAATTTTAATATCTTAAATTTAATTATATTCAAGTTGGTGCATTAAAACATATGCCTTTGAAACAGGAGGTTTGTGGTTCGACTCTCGTAGAGAGCAAAAAAATAACATTACACTATATAGTCTCCTTAAATTTTAAATACATTAGGAAGATACGAAGATCATGTTTTGATTATGGAGATTATATATATTAGATATTTCAATGATTAATTATAATATGAACAATATTTTACTTTTTTTACTTAAATCTTTTTTTATTAAGCCGCACAATTAATATATTTTCAAAATTCGTCTCACTCAAATTACATCTATAAGGAGATAGTATAAATTTAATTGTTGAAAAACATCTTTCCACACTAACTTAGGTAGCTGGCACTGCCAATATGATATCAGATTTGATGTGTCATTTATAATAATATTTTGGATTTAATTTTTCTCTAAGCAATCTAATTTATAAGCTTAAAATATTTTTAAAAAATGTTGTAAAATAACAATATACTAAGTTTATAAAAATTATGACCGGCACTTATCAATCAAATGTTATTGATTGATAATCTTAAAAATAATTTGAATATAATTGAAATTTTTTCAATATACTAATAATAACTTACATATTATTTTATAAGCATAAAATCATGAGGCTTGAACCGGTTCAGAGGCATTTTAGCGGTTTGGTTCAGGTTTGGCTAGAATTTTTTTAGCAGTTTAGGTTCCGTTCAGGTTCGATAAAATATACCGGTTTTTAGCGGTTTAACGGTTCGGTTTGGATTCCTGTTTGTGAGCAGAATTTGCTTATGTTTATTTTATAAGTTTAAATAAAAATATCAAAGCTTAAACAGCTCTTCAAAATCATCAAAAAAAATTTAAATGAAGATTTTTTTGTGGATGTCAAACATGATGAAATTTCGAAATCATTTTTGTAAAATAAATCTTGTGATTCATATGAGTGAAAACCATTTTCAAAAAATGATATTTTTTGAAAAACTCATTAAAAATATTAAAACAAGCTAATTAAATTATATGTAAACAAATAAAAGTATAAATTAATTTTAAAATCTACAAATTGATAGGTGGATTTAAAAAAATTAAAATAGGAGACGAATGGATATGTTAAAAACCTATTTATTACGAAACTCTGATTGGCATTGCCTTTTCACTCTTTCTTGTCCATTTTTATATGTTCCTCATATTCACACATAAATCTCAAAGCACTATCTTATTTTCATATTTCCTTAGTCCACTCATTGATTTTATGGGTAAAAACTTTAGGCAAAAATCGGAAAATAGGAATAAATTTTATCTACTATAAATGCTTACAAATACCTAGTGTCAAAACTATCGATGGGAGATGCCTGAGGAGGTGGGAATAATAGCAATCCATTCTGGACATCAATAAGTCGTTTAATCTTGTCTTCCAACATGCTGACTTTAGAAGAGGCGGCTGTTTGGGCTGTCAGGTTATCTATCATGCCCCTAAGACTATGAGCCAACTCTTCCTGTTGCCGCATCGACTCTTCCAGGGTGTTACTACATATTGATAATATCAAAAAATATTATTAAAACCTGTATAAATATAACTAGACGATTAAAAATAAAGACCAACGATCAGTAAGCTAATTTGAAACCCTTAAAACATTTTTATCATAATAAAAATGATAATTACCAAAAAAATTTGTGTGGTTAAAAATGATGAATAGGTAAAATATACCGAGATTGGATGCCCAAGTGAGTCTGAAAGTTAAAGGGTTCTGGCTTGATTACGTTTAATCGTTTAGAACCCGCATTGAGGCTTTCCCTAGACCGATTTCTTTTGGTGGATCTTCTGGAGCGTGAAGTTGATCTATGACGACCAACACTAGATCTCTCTCGATCTCTGGATGATTTGGATCTAGATCTCGCTCTTCCACTGGAATAAGCACTGTTTACAAAATCATCAGCCAATTTGGCAGATGCCTTTCTTAAAGCGTTCTTGTAATCTGAAGACCAGATGGGTGTCAGACTTCTTTCTAAATTTTCCCTTTTTCTATCATAACTAGTATCTTGTGGACCTCCCACCATACCACCCATTCCTCCTGCAACAAGGGGATATGTGGTAGAGGAAGCCAAATAAGGAGGACGTTCCAAATTGATTCGAGAATTTTGTTCCGCCAAAGACATTCGAGCCAACAGTTGGTTCAGTCTGCCCAGAAATTTGTTCATCCTGACATTATCCACTTTGTTGGTATCATAGAATTCGGCCTCAATGCCATCTTTTAGCAAGATGCAAACGGAATTCTGATCTGCCCCCATTTCCTCTCTCAGAGATGGTTCTAGCCTATGAGCTATGTTCTGGTTACAGGCCCAAGCTTTAAATATAGTGTTCAGGGCGTTTCCCAGAACGTCAAACAACCTTCGAATGGTCTCAGGTTTGGTGAAATCTTCTTGAGTCATGTCCACCTTTTGTTTAAAAAAATAATAATTCATATTTATAAAAATAAATAAAAAGTTTGAACATGAAGCAAACTGGAAAAAATCCTCCAGAACATTTTACCCATGTTTATTCAATTTATTAAGACCTAGTAATAATAACAGCGTCATGAAATTCTTAAGTGATTTTTTTCCTATTGTCTTTTTTATTGTATATATTTAGCTAAAATTTTAATTCCCTATACTAGTAGTTAATAAAATTAAAGTCCAATTTAAAAAAATGAGAATCAAAGTATGTTATTAAATTGAAAATAATCAAAAAATTCTGATGAGAATAATCATAGAAAAATGGATTAATTTTTGTTTTAGTAATCTTTTAAATAAATTGAGGAATAAACATGAACTTATAATTACAACATGAACAAAATGATCTCTAAGAACTAGCCATTCGTGGGTCTTTAGACAAGGCGATTAGTTAAGAACAGGTCCCAATTCTGATGTGATCACTTTATAAATTGTCATGATCATTATCATAGATCCGAAATACTTCAAAACTTAGTAATAATTTAAATTATTTTACAATATCATAATGAACATGTTTAGAATAAAGTAATTTAATAAGTGAGAATATATTATTTCAGCCACCAGATAACCATTGGGACAAAACAATTGTCTTAAATAACTAAATTTTTATATTCAATGTGGTAGACATGGATAGCTAGCAAAAGTATTACACAAATTAATGTATAAGGATTAACAGAATTTTAAATTAGTAGCAAATTTCAAATTTCTTTAAATAAAATAAAGTGATCATGTATTACAACATAATTGTTCCCTGTAACCAAATTACAATTTCTTTTTTTACTCCTTTCTTGGAGAGACCTGGTCAAATTTCTTTATCTTCTTAGATAGTGTTATCTAAATTCAATAAAGGTCATATGAATTAGTCATTACCAATCAAAACTAATCAGTCCACACAATTTTTTTGAATTGGTGGTCATTATATGGTATAAAGTTGATCATCGAAATTTAAGATATGATGTACATAACATATTCAGACCAAAATAACATTTTTTAAGTTTATCCCAAAATTTAATATTAATTTTAAAAAGCAAGGAGTCATAAATGATTTTGGCACATTTATATAACGTATTTTTTAGTAATAGTATGCAGAAAAATTTAACCCTTTGAGCAATAATTACAATAGTTCCAACCAAGGTTCAAGTGATTTATAAATATATTATTTATAATGATGATTGATTAATTTTTATTTAGTGCTTAAATGTTTTTATTTTAGGCTAAAGTTTGGTACTGGAACCAGAACCCCAAGTAACCTATACCTTCGGAAATATTATATGATTTTCAAAGACCATTCTTACTTAATTAATTATATTTAACATTCCAGCATATTTAATACAACATTTAAACTTTTAATTACGATTTAAAAATCTTAATATATTATGAATAAATTTGGTACCTGAGGCATCCCGGGCAATAATCCTCTCACCCTGCCAAAAACTTCATTCAGAGACGTCTGGTTATCTAAGGTCACCAATATATTTTGGAACATGGGAAAGGATCCAATAGATTCCAACATATTATCTTTAAAATATGAAAGTGTATTATATAGGATATAATATCAACAGGAAAAAGTTCAAGTTAACCCTCTATTGCACACATCATATTTGAATATACTCGCAATAAATAATATATCTATTAATATAAATTTTTTTATTTAGTATGTGTGGTGTATAATATACATATATATTTTATTTATTTTTATAATAGTCAAAAATGAAAAATAGTTACCAATATTATATTTCTAAAATGTGTAGTTTACTTTGGAATAGTAGCATTTTTTCAATTTTATAAATAACATCATTTTTCTTGTACAAATTTTTAAGAAAATGGAAGTTAATAATCTTATTGGATAAAGGTAAAAGAAATGTTTTATATATAAACTTATTGTTATCTGCTTTAATAGTGTTTAAAGTTTTTAAGGGTAAGTAAATATAGATACATAATGCACAGTAAATGCAATAAGAATTTGGTTTTTTTTGTTTATATTATCAAATGTTTATTATTTTCTATCCTAATTAAACATTTAACATTTACATACTCAAAATGTATTGTAATCCTGAGAATTGTTTGATAATGGTTCATCACGTGAAGAAATATTGCTTCAAGATCAAAAGATGTAGTAGGTACATTATTTTTATTAGATATTTAGATTATTCTAAAACAGAGATGCGAACCCAGCAAAATTTTTGCCCAGGTTCAGTTCGGGTTCAGTTCAGGGAAATATTTTTGAACCCTGGTTTGGTTCTGGGTTCAGCTTAGGTTTAAGAATTTTTAAAAGAAAAAAAAAATTCTATATTTAAATCATTTAAAAAACTAGACATAAATTTGGTATAAAAAATAAATTTTTTATTTTATTTATAGGCAAAATATAATTAAAAATACAAAGCATAGTCATGTATAGATTTTAAAAAATTTTTTTTATTTTATTTATAGGCAAAATATAGTTAAAAATACAAAGCATAGTCATGTATAGATTTAAAAAAATTTATTTAGACGTATTTCTTTAAATTAACAATATCCAATATAATAATTTTTAATTTTACTTGTTCACTTTCATTTTCCTCTAATTAATAATCTTTGAGAATAAGTTAAAAATTAAAAATAAATGGCGTAAATGTATTTAATTGGTTAAAATATTAAGAATCCAATAGGAATCTTTGAGAATAAATTTAAAAAATTTTGAAATGGAGTAAATGAATTAAATTGTTTAAAATTTATTAACACTTCACTTAAATGGAAATTTGAAAATATTATAAAATGTCAAGTATATTATTAATATTTGTATTTACAATTATATAAATATTTTATATTAATTTAAACAATAACTGAACCCACGTTCAAATAAAATTCCCAGGTTCGGTTCAGGTTCAATTTTTTCCCCCAAAAAACCCGGGTTTTCTTCTCCGGGTTCGAACCCATGTTCTAAAATGAGCAACCAAATATGAATAAAAAAGGATAGAGGAAATTCATGTGTCCTCAGCAGGGGTTTGAACCGAACCCAAACCCAGAGAAAAAAACCTGAGTTTTTGTGGAAAAAATTTGAACCCAAACCAAACCTGAACCCCTATCATAAAATTTTCAAAACCCCGAATTGATCCCTGGAATTTTATTTGAACCCAGATTCAATCAGGTTCAGTGTATTGTTTATCCAATATAAGATATTTGTATAATTGTAAATACAAATAATAATTTACTTGACATTTTATAATATTTTCAAATTTCCATTTAAGTGAAGTGTTAATAAATTTTAAACAACTTAATTCATTTACTTCATTTTTAAACTTTTTAAATTTATTCTCAAAGATTCCTATTGGATTGTTAATAAATTTTAAACAATTAAATTCATTAACGCCATTTATTTCTAATTTTTAACTTATTCTCAAAGATTATTAATTAGAGGAAAATGAAAGTGAACAAGTCAAAAAAAATATTATGGATATTGTTAATTTAAAGAAATACGTATAAATAAATATTTATTTTCACATATGCAAAATAATATCAAATAAAATAGATCAAGGGGCATAGGTCGTGCAATTAAACTTCTCAGATAACCATCTTTCTCCTATCAATGAAGATATTACAACTATTGAAACAACTACATTGGAAGCTTCCACAGATAATCTACACATCTTTCCAATCCACCAACTGTAATTTTTACCAGTGATGAAATAGTCAATGTTATCAATTCTTTAAATAAAAACTCAGCAGGTAGTCTTGATGGTTTCAGACCCTCCTATTTTCAATACTTAATATTAAAAAATCCTTCCCATAGTTCTGTCAACAAGGTTTTAACAACTTTTTGTAATAACATAATTAATAATGATATTCCAAGACAAACTCACCATGTCTTATTGCTTTATCCAAGCCAAATGGTGGTACACATCCCATTGCAGTAAGCTCTTTTTTCAGAAGATTAATAGACAAAATCATAATCAAATACATCAAACATGATGCTGTCAACATTTTAAACTCTTATCAACTAGGTTTAGGGATCAAGGGCGCTGTGAAAAATCGGCTCATACCTTAAGAATTTACTTAACAAACCCACCATCTGATTCTGTAATATGTAAACTAGATTTCAAAAATGCCTTCAATAACCTACATCGTACCTCATTTTTAAAATTCTTCTATGAAATTTTTCCCTGTTACTCTAAATTTATTAAATCCTCATATGGCTTTCAGACGCCTTTGATGTGTGGATCTTTACAAATTTTATCCCAAGAGTGCACCCAATAGGACCTCTTCTTTTTAGTTTTGGAATCCATCATCTCATCTACCAAATCAAACACCTAGATCTTAATCTATGATATTTAGACAATGGGACCATCTGTGGCCCTTCAGGTACTGTACTAAGCACCTTAAAACATCTGGAAATCAATTCCCAAGCTATCGGTCTGGTACTCAATATAAATAAAACAGATTATGTTTCATAAACAATAAGCCACAAAAGTGGGAAGGCTACAAATCATTGCTCCTGATAGCTTAACCTTACTTGGGTCCCCATTAGCAATGCGACCAAGTCAAAAGATTTCCTCAATAAGATTTTTAAAAGCTTTTACAGCATGGAGCACATTCTAAGTCTCCTACCAGCACATCAATCTTTATTTTTAATATGCAAATTACATACCTAAATTTTTGCACATTTTCCGATCATCATCTTTTTTCAAAAACAATGAATTCATATCTATAATTCAGGATAAATTTAAACTTATTCAATTTATCACTTGCTCAGCTACCTTTTAAACTAAGTGGTTTAGATTTTTTTCCGCTCAATCTTTTATCCTAATCATCATTCGTATCATATAGATTATCTAACAATTCTATGATTTCTGGCTTCATATGACCACCGATCATTTATTAGACAACGCTATTGACAAATGGAAGGCAAACACACCTATTAACACCGTATTACCATCAATCATCACACACAAAAAATTTTTCACACCTTTAATATCGGAATACCAAACAGATATATCAGTCAATCCACCTTTAGATTGCATTCAACTCCTTCAATTATCTGACAGACTTGGTGATCATGAATGGTTAGAATAACTCCCTAGTCGCAACCTTGGTAATCTCTTATCAGATGAACAACTGAGAGTAACCACTGGTTTACGTCTAGGTTGCGATATAGTATAGCCTCATGCCTGCATCAAATGCAAATCCTTTGATTCAAAGGGTAGACTTGGCTTAAATTGTATTTTTAGTCAAGGGTAACATCAATGCCACTCAGCTGTAAACCATATAATAAATAGAAGCCTAACAGCTGCACACATTCCATACAATATTGAACCATATAATTTATCTCAAGTAGATGGTTAGACCTGATGGTATGATAACCATACCTTGGGCCCTCAGCAAATCACTCATATGGGACTACACGTGTCTCATCATTCCCTTCAAACATAAATTTCAATTTAATAACACAGGCAGAAATTAAAAAGACAAACAAATACAAAAATTATAAAAACTTTATATTCACTCCAGTAGTGACTTCTCAAGCATTTTTCGCCTTTAACATTTATATTTTTAAAAAATCTGGGTAAAAACACGACTTTTCACAAATCAACCCAGAGAATTTCTTTTTATTCGACAAAAAATTCAAATAAAAATTTTAGACACAATTTGGTTCCTTTTTGGGGACTCAATTATAAAATTTTATTTTTAATTATATAATTATAAATTACAATTTTTTTAATTAGGTTTTATGTAAAAAGAAATTTAAAATAAAGAATAAAGCATTAAAAAAAATTTTTTTTTTAATCTATACATGACTATGCTTTGTATTTCTAATTATATTTTGCCTATAAATAAAATATAAAAAATTTATTTTTTATACCAAATTTATGTCTAATTTTTAATTATAAATTGAATATAAAATATTTTTTTTAATCAATTTAAAAATTCTCAAACCTGAGCTGAACCCAGAACCAAATATTTCATCATATCAACCACTCTTGGCACCTTCGGCAAACTCGTCTTAGCATTTTTCAAAAACTTAGGAACACAAATCAGCAAACTCTCAGAAGAACCTCGAGAGGGTTTTTTCTTGTCAACGATTATCCATTGCGATTCACAAAGCTAATTATATCAGTTTCAATGGTAGCCTTCTAGCCAAAGAGCTATCATAGACAACGCTTACGTCCCTTTTTCATTTTTGTTTCTCTGCGTCACACCATCTCCGTTCTTTTTTTTAAATAGTATTATTATATATTTTTCAAACATTGAACTGAACCCGAAAAGAACTCACCTTTTTTTAACCTTAACTGAACCCGTACCTGGGCACAAATTTTGTCGGGTTCACAAAGCTGGTCTTCAGCTAATAACCTGTGACAATTCCTAAATGGAAAGAAACTAAATATAACACAGAAAAGATTATAAACCCAATTGTTTATTACATTAAATTTTAGGGTAAAATAAATGATAAGTATATCAATTCAACTTATATGCTATAATAAAAACTAGAGTTGTAACCAATTTGGGTAAATCTCGAGTTTTGGGAAATAGAGGTCCAAACTTTTCTGCCATATATAAGCAAAATATCCAGGCTTGCATATTGTTATCTTGGATATAATCTTAATTAGATAGTATTTAATGACCAAATTGGGCTCAATATGAATAAAAAAAGCTGGAACAATTTATTAGAATTCTTTTATAAATGTCTATCATAAAACTTCAAAAATCTAGACTTTATTTGTCTGCATATACAAGGCAACCGTCAGTAGCTAAAATGTTATGAGTCAAAAAAATATGAAATCAAATAAAAACCTTACCCTTTTTCAATGATAATAACTCTCCACCTATACCAGATTCAAAAGAATTTGACAATAAAATAAGGACTCTTAGTCTGAACTTGGTGGATGTCCCCTAATTTTCAGCATGTTAAGAAAATATAAAAAAATTTCCAATCCAAATTGAGATAAAAAAAAGGAATAAATAAAATTTATATTATTTCAGAGTTAATTGAATGGAATTCAAGATTCTTTATCAAATCATAATTTCTTTTCTTCCTTGTTATTTTATTAATGTTTTATTTTTGTCCTATATTAAAGAGTCTGTAAAAAGACATATTTAAAGTTTACGAAAAATAAATAAAATTTATTTATATGTATAAAGTAAATGAATGAAAGTTGTTATAAGAAAAATTATATTTTTTACTCTGTAGGGCCTTCTTCCTCAGCAAAGAATTAAAAGAAGGTAGAGTGTGCTTGGTATTGTTCCTTGGTAAAAATTTATTTTGATTACGACTTCCCCTTTTCCTGCCACGAGGAGCTGGTTTCATGTAATCAGATGAAATAGACCTTGATCCAGATCGGATTCTGCTTCCAGCTAATTTGGTATCACTATTTGACTTTCCCTTGTCCCTGTTATGGTGATGCTTTGAATCTCTTGTATCTGTAAGTTTTCCACTATCAAGCTTATCTATCTCCTTAACTTTTGGAGGAAAAATAATCCTGAAATTCTTTGGGCCCTGACTACCACCAGTTTCTATTATTCTAGTGGATCTAGAATCCACAATATCTAGGTTAACACTTTTTGGAATATTAGGATCATCGATTTTAACAGCTTTATTTTTATTTAAATCAGGCTCTTCTCCAACGTTTGATTTGTCCTCTACATTTATCCCATGGCCAATAGAAATCTCGTCAAAATCGACTGAGAAAGCATCCAATATAACATAATCTCCTTTAGTGATAACTTCATTGTCCAAAATACGAGGTTTCGAATCTTCCCCAGCTACTGGCTCATTAGGAATTAAATCGGTTTTGGAGGAGCCAGAAGTTAGTTTATCACCAAAATCATCAGAATCCTGTATTTTGTTATCTATAGTAATTTCAGTTGATTCATGGGAAAGCTTTTGGCTGGGCGTTTTGTGGATCCTAATAATAGTTTTATTAGTGACACTGTCTTTTTCAATGCTGAAATGATTGTCCATTTTTTCCACAACCACATCTTCAGAAGTGATAATATCATTTGATTTAGTCATTTTGAGGTTAGGATAATTCTTACTCCGTTTACGTTTATCCTTAGCAACAGGACTTATACATCTAGTTAATTCCTTTTTCTTGTCACTTGGTCTCAAGATATATCTTGACAAACTGCTGGCCAATTTATTAATGTTCCTATTCTCGGTCTCTTTTTGTTCGATGTGTTCAGAGTCTGACACATTTTCATAAGAGGCATCAAATTTAGACTTTTCTTTGGAGATATCATTGTAAATTTTCATGATGTGACAGATCATATCAAATTCAGGATGTTTAGGATTTACCTCAATATATCTTATGCGCTTAGATTTTTGAAGATGGTTAGGAAGTAGATGCAATATCTTTTGGATAACGGCATCCATGATTATTTGCTGATCCACTTTTGAGGAATGACCTTTGAGGCTTATTTGTTTTTCAACTTCTTCACTGTAAAATTTTTCAAAGTCATTCAATAAGGTTGGAGTCTGAACTCTCTAAGGAAAAAATAATTATTTTTGTGTTATTGAATAAATTTTTTTTGAATATTTATGTATTAAAATAATAGTAAATAATAAAGATGAAATTATTAAATAGAGTATGAACTTGGATTTTTTACCCTTTTTAAAATTTTAATGTATTTATATTTAAATTAGAGGTTACCAATACCAACCAACAATATCCATCAATACTGATTGATGGTTATTGTTTAAATCAAGGAAATGTTTATTTAATCACATGATCTGTTAGATTTGGTAAGTTTTTAATAAAAATAAAAAATTTTTATTAAAACCCATTTTAACCCTTTTGCGCCCAGCAAGATCATATGTCATCAAAATTTTTAATCAATTAATTTTTATATTTAAGAATAATGGGTTGGTACTTAAATATTAGTTAATAAAACTATATTTATTATTTCATATTTATCATTAACCTGTCAAAATCATTATTTTATTATATCAAAATGTCAAAATCATTATTTTATTATATCAAAATGTCAAAATCATTATTATATCAAAATGTCAAAATCATTATTTTATTATATCAAAATCATTATTTTATTATACAAATATTTTTTGTTCATGGGAAATTTCTGGGTGCGAAAGGGTTAAATACATCTTAATGTTAATAGTGTGACCTAATTAAACATTTTCCAAAAAAGCAACCCAGTTTGCATTTTTATTAATGTTTATAAATTATGGTCATATCAATTGAAATATGTTGCTAAATTAGGTTCTCTATAACCCCACAATTAACCCTAACACAAATCTCTAACATTTAATCCAACATATTTGTTTAATTTTAAATCTGTTTTATATAATTAAAAAATTTCCTAGATTCACACATTCCTTGAGTTGGGTTATTATCATCAGTCATTACTAGTGTTGTTAAACAGCTTGTTTTGAGCCACTTTTGAAAAACGGCTAAGTCTATATTTAAGCCAGCAAAGAAATAGCTTAAGCCTCCAGATTTTGCTAATAGATATCTAGATTTTTGTATCATTTATGAGAAAAATCTTCATTCCTTTTCTAAATAAAACACTGAGTTAGCCATTTATAAATAGTGGCTTAAAATAAGTCAATTAACAACACTCATTACTAATTGATACCAATGGCCAATACCATAAATTTCATGTAGTTTCCTTTTTTCATCATAAAATGCAACATAAAAAGGTAATACAATTTTATTTTTTAGCTAAAATTTTCACCTCATAAGTTGTTAAATCATCCTTACATTTTATAATTTATAGGAAAAACATTGTGTGACAACTCTATTATTAGGAGGTTAATAGAATTAGACTTCCAACTCTGATAGTATCACAGCATTACCTAGCCAATGTAGCTATCAGTTATAAGTGAATTGTTTAATAAAACTGGGAACTTTGATAAATCAGGTAGAATTTTCTTTACTGGTATTATAAAATTGTGTCTTTAATATTGCATGTTAATTAATTATAAAATATAACATTGATAAAAAAAAAATTTGTTAATATAATTAAATATTCCTTTATTTTAAAATAAATTACCAAAATTTTGTGGTTGAAAAACCCTGAGCCAGGTCATAAATAATTTAATTATTTTTGAGGTCAATAGTACATATAATAAATATTCTAAAATAAGACCATACTAAAATAAATTAATCTTACTATAAAGTTGTGAACATGCTCTTTAGATAGGATGTGATGCATAATGGCTTTTTTTTGAGCTTTAGGTTTTGAATGAAGTTTATTTCTATTAAAGTATTTTGGAGAAAATCCACAAAGATAGCACAAATAATAAGATGTGTCTTTATACATACTTTTAATTATGTAATCAATACCTAATAAATTAATGGGATAGATATGGTTATCATAAATAGTTTACCTAATAATTCTGGCCTTGATTCCAAGAAATTTATAGCTCCATGTTTTAGTTCAAATTTAATAGCAATCACTTTATGACCTATAGTAAAAAAAATAGAATATTATTTTTTTAAATAACATAAAATATTCTTTTAAATCGTACTTCCAAAAGTATTAATAGCTTGAACCCATTTATGAGACAAACATTTTTGATGAGGTTCCATACATTTATTTATAATATCATAATAATAATTTAATTTGCAATCCTAATTTAGATATAATTATATTTTTTAAATAGTCTATTACTGTGCAGAATTTATGCATATCCTTATTATTCCTTAATTTCATTAAGTGCGTTTCTTGTTTGGAATGTGCTTTAAGTAACTAAATCAAAAATTATAAAAGGTACTTTATGTTTAAATTAACTTCTTCCGATTGGCAAATTGTGCGACATATTTCACATAGATATATTGATGGCTTCTTTGGCTTATCAACATCAAGCACATGATTGTTATCTTCATTTTCTAACTCCATTTTGTATTTTGATATTTTTATAATAAAACGAGGAAAATTGAATATTATTTCTAAATAAAATTTTTTTAAAATTAATTAATACTATTATCATTGATTACTGGGTAGCATTTATTGGTCTATGAATTGAGCTAAGTGGCGACATTATTTAATGTACATCTATCAAAATAAAATTCAATACGAAGAAATAATTATTATCATATTCTACCTTTATTTCATACAGGGGCCCCTACAACGGGGGGGGGGGGGTCCGAAGCAACTGCTTCAGTAAATTTGAATGGGGGTACTTTTTTTTACATCCATCATGATCAAGTGATTTCTGGTTTATAAATGTAACAATAAGACCCCCCCCCCCACTTAATATTTAATTTAATATATTGACGGAAACTTTGGTCGATGTTTAGTAAATTTTTTATCCGAAATTTCTTGTTATAAATTATTTTTCCAATTTTAAAATATGCCTAAAAATATTAACCAATATTGACAATAGCAAAATTCCTAGAAATTGGATTACTTATAGTATTAAAATGTATAAAGTTTTTTGTTAACATGTCTCTTATTTGGTGGTCCACACGCAAATTCAAAATGGACATGTGAAGGTCTAGATAAATGGCAAAATATTAATCGTGATATTATTCTGCATGAATCTTCACAGGCATATATGATATCCTATTATGGAAGGCTTTCTCATAATAAAAATTCGATATTAAAATTTATAACACCTCAGAATGAATGTGTAGATAATAACCGTTTAATTATAAGAATTATAATAAGATGTTTAGATTATTTAATATCTAGTAACCAAGCCTATTGGGGGAACAGGCAACAAGAAGGCAATATGATGGCCCTTATTAAGCTTATTGCAGATTCTGAACCTTTACTAAAAATGTATATACAGCAAAATGAAGAAAGAAAAAAGGATAAAAAAATAAGGGATTAAAAACGAAATATATTCAAACCTATTATCATATAATAACATAAACATTCTCATTGAAACCATGAAAAATATGGTTATAAAAAAAATTCTAAATGAGATTACATTTAATAGGTGCTTTTCAATCATAGTTGATGGCACGATAGTAAGATATGTTGAAAATAGTGAGACGCTGAAGCCTGTTGAAAGACTGATTGACATATATTGTACGGGAAATACCACAGGTCTCCATATAAAGCATAATATAATATCCAAACTTGGCTCGATGAATTTACCCCTTGAATATCTAGTTGGGCAAAGTTATGATGGCGCCTCAAACATGAGTGGAAGAATCAATGGTGTGCAAGCCTTGATTAGAGCAGAGGCGCCAAAGGCAGCTTTTATTTGGTGTTATTGTCATCGATTAAATTTAATCGTTGTTCAATTATGCCAATCAATTAAAGAACTTCGAAATGTTCTAGGAATACTAGATGAGATTTATGTCTATTTTAATGGTGCAAAAAGATATAAGGTACTCAAAAAATTTCAGTGTAATGATCTGAAAAAATCGCAACGATTTCTACGCGTCAAGAATACCACTCGGTAATAGTTCCTTATTTATTTAAATTTTAAATGTTTTTTTATTTAGAAGCTGGCTATCGTCATATAAAGCTATTGTAAATTTTTTTCAACTTTATGATGCCTTGAGGGTAGCTTTAACAAATTTAAAGGATTCTGAAGATCCTGCCACTTCCACTATGGCTAGTGCTATAGTCTTTAGAATATAAAAATTTGATTTTATCTTATCACTTTGTGTTTTGGATAATATATTGTTGATAACAAGTTTGGCTTGTACAAAATTGCAAACCATTTCGAAGGATATAGGGTATGCAATAAATCAAATTCAATTGACAAAAGATTGCTTGATTAATTTGAGAAGTATAATATAAATTATTGTCTTAATTATTTTTTAATCTAATAGATAATAACACTGAATTTTTGGATGTTTTTTCAAAGGCGCAAGATTTTATGAAGGAGAGAAATCTACATTTAGATTTTGAAGGTTCTAGACTTCAAACATTACAATCCAAAAAGGAGAGGTTATATACTTTCATCATTAAATATAGGAATTTTTTTTAGTAAAATAGGTGTGTTTCTGCACTCGATTTAATTATTATGCAGTTTAACGAAAGATTTAATGATGATTCCATGAAATATTTACATCAAACATCATTTTTTACGCCAAAGGGAATGGCAGAAAAATCAATTATTAAAGAAGATATCGAGGATATCTGTGAATTTTACAATTTAAATTCAAGTCAAATTTTCGAAGAAATGTTGAAGTTTAGAAATATTTATAAGATGGCCAAAATGGGGAATGTAATTAATACTCATGACCTAGAGGTTCAAGAATCTAAAGATTTGTCAGATTCTGAGAATTGTAAATTTATTTAAATAAAATATTTTTACCAATACATTATTTAGCTTCTTCTGATGATGCTGATAATTCAGGGACTTACGATTCAGATTGGAAAAACTATTCATTTATTTTACCTTATCGTTTACTTTTAAATTTTTCTGCTTTCCCTAATTTAAGAATTTTATATAAATATCTATTAACCATTCCCACAACCTCATGTACTGCCGAAAGAGTCATGAGTAAAATTAAATTAATTAAAACAAGACTGCGCAGTACCATGAAAGATTCTTTTCTCAATAATTTAACCATATTATCAATGGAAAAATTTTATTTAAACAATTTAATACTGATGAAATTATAAATTCTTTCGCTTTCTCTTCCCCTAATTTATCTAAATTATTAATTTAAAAATAATATTTATAAAGTTATATTTTTTGCATTTTATTTATATTATATATTAAAAATTGATGCAATAAAAATTTTTTTTATTTATGGGTGTCATAATTATCATTTTTTCGAAGGGGGGCGGATACTTTTTAAGGGGGTACTTTTCAAGGGGGTATTCTGCTTCATTCGCTCAAAAAGTGTAGGGGCCACTGATTTCATATTTTCAATATATTATTATTTAGTCCTAGATTTACATCATATCGATATGGAATATATACTTCAATGACAAATCTTCCTTAAAAGGAAGGGAAGAACTGTCTACCGACAAATCTCTTAAAATTTATTATGTTATGGCAAAAAAATTAATCAATTGTTTCTCTTGAATTAAACTTCACTCTTCGTCACCGATATATATATACATATATATAGTTCTGTATTTGTCTAAAATAATTTGCTTGTTTAAAAAAACTATGGCACACTCTAAATAATTTCACCCAACATTATTTTACCCAAGATTATTTCATTTCTTCTCTTATTTCACTGCAATACTTTGAGTACATTTAGCGTCAACATGAGCGGGGGAGCGGGGATAAGTACAGTTTGTCTTCAATTTTTTAGGGGATAAAGAGGAGATATGGGGGGTTTCGCAACCCATAAATTTTTTAGTTGAGCCCCCTGAGATTGCAGAGGTTAGCGACGCCTCTGGGCAATAGTACAATATATCAAAATAATTTGAAAGATTTATATCAATATAATCAAAAATTAAAATTACAAAAAATGGCAGTGAAAATATTTTATTGAATTACTTTAAAAAACTTATGCATTATACATCAAATTATTTTAAAATACTTATTATATTTTGTGTCAACTATCGTATTAATTAATATTGCCTTTAATTGTATATAAGTGTAAAATAAATATTTTTCAAAATTATTTTATTCAGAGTTAAGAAATTAAGAGACAAATTAGTAAATAAGGCAATTTGATCTACCTAATATTTAGAATTTAATATTAAGCCAAGATTATTAGGAATTTCTTATATCAATATAATCCTAAATTAAAATTATCACGAATGGAAAATTTTACTCTTCTTTTTCTTTAAATTAATAATAAAATATAGTAGAAATTTGCATTATAAGCAAAATAAAATACTATTAATAATAAATGACCTCAATAATTCCTTGGTTTATTTCTAAACCCTATCCAATCAATTGAGATACGAAAACTTTAAAATATGAAATGCAACTTTACCATAAAAATTCCATATTTCTAAACTCGATGAGCTTTTGTTTAAATGCATAGTGGAAAGGATACTATGGAAAATTCTGTTCTAATACCACCTATTAGATTTATTTTGTTTTTTATTTTAATTTAATCATGAATTTTATTAATATTCATATACAAATATAATAAAAAATTATTATTTAAAAATTAACATGGATGGTATAATATAAAGAATATTGTAAAATATGTCATATATAAGTTCAAGTTAAAAAAAAAAATTAATACAAAGCATTAGAAAAGTATCAGGTGGCTAGGTTAAGCCAGGATGTTTTAAATATTTAATAGTTAGATCTAATTAAAGAGACGGCGATTTTCTGCTTGCGTTTATAAAATGGAGAAAGGTATCATTTTTTGATTGATTTAGATATTATTTTGAGGAGATTAAATGCCGCTTGTCCGTAGCTGCTATAGGAACAAACTGGTTGTCACACATTAGATGCGAGTATTTTTTATTTTTTAGAGATTCAGCTCTATTAAGGGGATCATGCAAATTATTAGATAGGGCCATGGGATCAATGCAGGTAAAATACCACATTAAGAGCTTTCCCATTAAAAACGGTATGATTGTTTTGCCGTCAGGACGTATTTTATCTAAAAAAGGTCGGTTCTAAAATACAAGGAAAATTGGCTTTATTTAAAAGAGAAGCTATTATTGAATTTATTTTATCATGTCGGCTGATTTTTGATAAAAATTTACAGTGGAGAACGTGTCTCCCATACGCGCTTTGCATTGCAGATTTTTTAAAACGGTTAACTCAATATTTTAGCCAGAAAAATATTGCCTAAGCCCCGAGATTTCGATAATATATGTCTAGACATTTGTTCCTTCTATGAGCAAAATCTTCAGAGTTGCGGTTTAGAAAATTTACTCTGTCATTTTTAGAAAAATTTTGTCATGATTTTGATTTTAAGATAATTTATATTATTTATTTCATAGATATTTTAGATAAATCATAAATGGTTAAAATATTATCAGCTAAATTGGGAGGTATTACTACTAGTATA